TTTTTTTTTTTTTTTTTTTTTTTTCGAGACAGGGTTTCTCTGTGTAGCCCTAGCTGTCCTGGAACTCACTCTGTAGACCAGGCTGGCCTCGAAGTCAGAAATCTGCCTGCCTCTGCCTCCCAAGTGCTGGGATTAAAGGTGTGCACCACCACCACCACCCGGCCACACTTGATCTTTTGAGATGTGTGAAATAACCCAACCTTCCAAGAAGGTCTGCCTTAGAACGTCGCTGCCTACCTCAGATGCCTTCCAGTGGCCTCCCCTATGGTCCTAATAGCTCAGAGGGCTGCCTTACTCATCTGTTAGACACATAGAGAAACGTCCAGATTATCTCCCTGTACACCAAGATTAGAACCTGCAGCCATGGGGTACGCTCTAGCTTCTCCCCGACCCGTGCAAAACCCTTTGCAGAATCCTTGACCTCGGGTGCCCTGGTGAGGCCTGGATGTTTTAGAAGGAAGTGTAGGATGGGAAGATGGTTGGGGGATAGGTGAAAGCTTGTTACTAACCCTGCTGACCTGGACTGACACAGCCTGCAATAGGAGGAAAGGACCTACTCTCAAACGTTGTCCTCTGTGTGTGGTTGTGCCCATGCCTCCACACACATGTACAGATGCACACACAGTTTTTGTTTGTTTTGTGACTCAGTCTCTCTATATAGCCCTAGCTATCTGACCTCAACTCACAGAGATCCACCTGCCTCCGCCTCCTGAGTGCTGGAATTAAAGGTGTGAGCCACCATGACCAGCCCTACCATTTTAAAATAAAAAGAGAAAGATGGTGACCCAAAGTAGGACAAAGGGGATATGTGAACAGAGCAGCACGGACTCTTCAGGACCAGGCGAGACGTGTCACCTCAGTGAGTGCTATCCTGTGATTTTACTGAGTTATCAGGAATCCAAGGTCATCCTTGGCTGCATATGGAGTTAGGGACCACCCTTAGTTACATGAGACCCTGACTGAACAACAATACTGTGTTAGGCAACTAGCAATCTTGAGACAGGGTCTTGCTATATAGCCCAGGCTGGTTTTGAACTCAAGGTCCTCCCAATCTGGCCTCATGACGGCCTTGCTGTGTAGCCTGAGCTGATCTCAGGCTCACGGTTCTCGCCTCAGCCCCTGACAGCCAGGACCTAGGATTGTTTTAGGACTTCTGCTCCTTTACTTCCCAGTTGGCAAAATGGGGTGTAATACACTGGAAATACACCAGAGGGACCTTTCCCACTGCTTTGGCCTGACAATGGTCACAGAAACCTAAGCATTTTCCCTTATAAATCGATACTAAATAGTCAAAGGGTGTTCCTCAAGACATTTACACCAGACTAAGAAGGACGCTACTTAGTGGACTGTGTTGTGACAGACACAGGGAAAGGACACTGTGCTAATACCCACAGACCTGGGGGTACGCAGGCCCCTGTCCTTTCGTTCCTTAGTGACACGTGTGAATGAGTAGCCAGGGACTCTCAAAGCCAACCTGAGGCTGGTGTCAGTTGGTAGCATGCCTCGCACGCACAAAGTCCCAGGTTTGGTCCTCGGCACTGTATAAACCAAGGAAGGTGGTCTGTACTCGTAACGGCAGCACTTGGAGGTGAGGGCAGGGTGATCAGAAGATGAAGATCATCTGTGCTTGCATACTGAGTGGGAGGATCACCGGGTACATGAGAGCCTGTCTCAAAAAATTAAAGCCAGAAGGGGTATGTCCCTGTGGTCAACCCCATGGGTGTGGTCAACCCTGTGGGTGTGGTCAGACCTATGGGTGTGGTCAGCCTCATGGGTGTGGTCAGACCCGTGGGTATGACCTACTTTTCTTTCAGGGAAGACAGATCGGAAAGGGATATATGGCCACAGGAGGCTTGATACCCTGCACCTTTTGTGGGGTACCTAGGGTCAGGCTCTCAACAAAGAAGACCTTGCTCATGTCCACAAGAAGTATCCCAGCAAGCAGCATGAACAACAAAGGGGTCACTGGCCACTCAGGGAACTGCTTTGTGCCGTCCCTCACAAGTTTATTCCCAAGACTCATCCTTGAATGTCCTCGATGGAAGGCCTGGTGCCCTGTTTCACATTAACCACCATGCTAGGTAACTCACAGGAGACAGCCTCTGCCCTGTGAATCTAGAAAGACCTGCTGTTAGCTGTGTGAGACAGCCCTGTGAGTTCAGGCACCCATCCTATCTGGATCGTACCTACCCTCCAAGGCTGGACCAAATTCAGATTACCTAGGTTTGTTGTCAGCAAACCAGAACCCAGAGAGATATGTGTGACTCTCATATGGTATATGTCAGAGTACATGTGCCCATGTATGATATGTATGTGCATCCGAGTGTCTGTTTGTAGGCTGTGTGCACATGAGTATATATGTGTGTGTGTTTTGTGGGGGGGATCATGTGTACGTGGTACATGCATAGTGAGGGGGGAAAGATAGCCATTGAAACATGGACCATGATTTTTCAAAACTAGCCAGTGTTCACGTGAGACCCTTTGCTGACCTCTGGGTTCCTTCTAGCCCTCCCCTCCAAGAACTCAGATGCTCCCATGTCCTGTTCGTACAGGGCCATTCCCAGCATCTGCTCTCCAGATGCTCAGAAGAACCTTCCAGGGCTGAGATACAGCATACCTACTCAGCACTTAAAGGCGCATTGCGTTTATTGCATGCCTGTGTCTTGAGCTGTCCCCAGGTAAGCCCACTGCTTATTCAAGAAAGGATGTGGTTTTGCATAGACAACAGGGACTCTGGGCTTGTCCAGTTTTCCCTGAGCTCTGAGAGCACTGGAGGAGGTTCTGGTCCTTCAGATGTCACAGAAGACGCAGACTGAAGAGCAGGGAAGCCAGAGAGGCCACCAGGGCCCCTGTCTGCAAGTGGATGCTGGGGGCCTGTGAGTAGCCATAGTGAGTCCTGCAGGCGCCATCCAGCTCATTCAGGGAGATAGGGGCTTCCTCAGGAGCTTGCATGTTATTGCTTACCTGGAGACAGACCTGAGTTAGGCAGCCTGCCCTGTGGGTGGGGGAAGGACAGGAAACCCAGATGGCCACTCTCTCCTCACCAGTTCCACTTCAGAGAAGACCCGAAGCAGGTTTTCAGCCAGCACACCTCTGACCTCGGCCTCTGTCCAGTTCCTCCTGAGAAGCTCCGCTATCAGGTCTGGGTACTTGGAAACATCTTCCAGTCCCACAGGAAGCCTACACCAAGACCAAGAAGACCGGGCTTTGCAGATGGGCCTGTTTCCAGGTGCATGAAGACCCAAAGAGCAGCCTTGCAGCAAAAATGTCCTGCACTGCACTCGTGACACGCTTTCCCTCCCCTGTCCCATCAGGACACACAAATAGGATCATAACGCCATCATAGAACAAGATGTCCCTCTTACTTGGTAACACCATCATAATCTCCTCCAAGGCCCACAGCCCCAGGGCCTGCCACGTTCTTGATGTGGTCCAGGTGGTCTGTGGGGAGTAGCAGGTGTGAGCCCTAAGCAAGGCCGTCCCTTACGTGGCCACTGTGTGGTCCTACCCACTTACCAGCCACTTGGGACAAGGTGGCGCTGCTTGAACAGGAGACAAACTCACTGTAGAAGTTCACCATCACCAGACTGTTTGTGTTCTTCTGCTCAGAGGGGGGTTGGGGGTGAAAGTTAGAGGGGACCCTCAGGAGGCAGGCGGGGGGGGGGGGCTCCCCTTCACGTCTCGATTCCTTACCACCAGCTCCAGTACGTCATCGGGGACGTTCCGCCTGCTTCGACACACGCTGTAGGCAGACGAGTGGCTGAAGATGACCGGTGCCTTGGATTGCTGCAAAGCAGCCTTCATGGTGGCCACAGACACGTGGGACAAGTCAATCATGACACCCAGGCGGTTCATCTCATTCAGCACACTCTGGGGGCGGGGGATAGGATTGGGTACACGTCACAGACATTCTGAATTTCAGGCATGGGGAAGGCAGCACTAGATGCTAATTAAGCCTTTAGTGGTTGGAAGTTGTGGGGTACCCAGGATTCATCATTCTGAAAGCTCAGGGGTTCCAGCAGACTGTACCCTGGAAACAAGCATTGTCAGATCCATGCAACAGAGGAGGAGACCAGAGTCCACTGAGGTGTGATACTCTGTCCCATCCTTTGGGGACTGTAATCCTTCCCCCTCACCTTCCCAAAGGATGACAGTCCTTGGCTCTCAGCCTTGTCATCTCCTTTGTCTACAAGCCAGTTGTCGGCCCTGAAGAAAGATACACATGTGTCTAAGGAACAGGACAATAGTCTCAGCCCACCCTCACCTGCCCAGATAATGGGGCCTGGTCTGGAGCTCAGGAGAGGCCAGGGTTCTGGGCATAACAGAGGCCATTGGTTTCCTTTTCTGACCTCATCACAAGTTTTTCACGGGGACTCCTTACCAGGGCGTGTTGCAATTGTGGGTGAGGGTCAGGTACCGCATGCCCAGGTGGTAGAGTGTCCGCAGGACGCCAAGACTGCTGTCGATTAAGTGGCCCCCCTCCACGCCTATCAGACTGGCCACTTTCCCATTCTTGAAAGCCTCCATGATATCTACAGAAAACAGAGAAGAGGGTTGACACTAGACCCTCAGGCTTCAAAGTCCCACCCTCTACTAAAGACCAGGTCTGGCAGGAGGACATCAGGGCCTCGGTGGGACACTACCTGAACTGTTGGTGACACACACGAAGGTCTCAGGATAGAGCTGGCACATGCGGTGTATGACATCGATCTGTTCCAGTATCCTTTTCACTGCGTCTTTGTTTTGGGTATCACAAGGCATGTATGCGGACCAGAACTGGGGGTGAAGGGGAAGAGCTGACAACCCAGACCGCTGATGTCTGAGCCTACCCCAGTGTACACATGGGTCCGCTCTCCTGCCCTCCTGGAATCCCTGGTGTCCATGAGGCATGCTGCTCTAAGGCACACCATACCTAACCAGTCCTCACAGGGAATACAGGGGAGATCCCAGTACAGGGCAAACGGGAGACTAGAGGATGTACCTGGCCTCCCACGTAGCCAGTCTTCAGCTTGGGGATGTTGGTGTGTGTTTTCTCAAGTGTGGTCAAGTTGGCCTTTGAGTCCAGCAGTTGGTTGTTGAACAAAGTCAGTAGTTGCCAAGGCAAGTCGTTGTGCCTGGGGGGAAGCAAGGAGGGGGTCCAAGGTGGTTTAGGAAGTCGGCCTGGGCCTGTAGGCTTCTTTTTTTTTTTTTGGTTTTTCGAGACAGGGTTACTCTGTGTAGTCCTGGCTGTCCTGGAACTCACTCTGTAGACCAGGCTGGCCTCGAACTCAGAAATCCACCTGCCTCTGCCTCCCAAATGCTGGAATTAAAGGCGTGTGCCACCACCGCCCGGCACCTGTAGGCTTTTCAACCAGCGGGCTCCAGGCCTCCCCGCTCCAGTTCAGACTCCCACAGCTCGAGACTAACATGAGTCCGCCTCAGAGATGGACTACCTCTGACTGGGACACATCTGCACACAGCTGAAATTCCTAATTGCACCCCAGGCCAAGTGGCCGTGAGCTGAGTATGGCTAGGTATGCCTTCTTACGCCCCACCGCCAGGCAGCAAAAAGGGCAGGTCCCTGCTCTGTTGCAAAACCTCCTGAGACAGGGAATCATTTCGGGTACCATATAGGAATATGACATTTTCCTGTTTTTATAAATTTTTTTATGTAATTTATGTATCTGAGTACACTATAGGTGTCTTCAGACACTCCAGAAGAGAGCATCAGATCCCATTACAGATGGTTGTGAGCCACCATGTGGGTGCCAGAAACTGAACTCAGGAGCTCTGGGAGAGCAGTCAGTGCTCTTAACCGCTGAGCCATCTCTCCAGCCTGGAATATGACATTTTCAATTCGAAGACAAAGTTTGCCCCTTGAAGGGAAAGCCGTGGCCTGTAGGGAGCAGCTTGGCTCCCACCCTTCTGAGACTCAGACTCCTCTTTGTCTCCGCTCCTATGGCAAACCCAGGTTCACCTCTGGCCACTTCGCCTCTGACTCCAAAGAGCTTTCTTTGATCCTCTGAGTTCTGAGAAGTCCCAGGGGAGGCAGTGCTTTCACGGAGGAAGGAGAGTGCCCGGAGCTGCTGAGCTAGTAGCTAGTAGGAGGGCTTTCTCTCTCTCTCTCTCTCTCTCTCTCTCTCTCTCTCTCTCTCTCTCT